TAATTATATACATTGAGAAAAAATAACAAACATTCAGCTCCTGACTAATTTATTTATTTTTTCTATAAATATTTGACAATATATAATGTATAAAAACTTTCACAATTGTTGTGGTTCTTTTATAAGTCCTATCAATGGCGAACACTTTATAATATTGAAATCTGTCTTGAAAGGATAAGAATTCTATTTTATCCCAGCAAAAGTTATAATGTAGTCTGCAGTAGATATTGTATTGGATACCACCAAAAAATTTTGTAAAATGGAATATTTTTGCAGTCCCGTATGTACCAAATTCCGTCTCAATTTCCACCTATGTACGCTGGATATATATATTATATATGTATATATACATTTAAAACATTAATATAATACTTCCCCCGCCCGTACGCTAATATGTACCTATGTAGGCACTGTAGATATTATATACATGCAATACTATTGTAATAATATTTTGTTATAGTATAATATTCTTCGTATAAGATTTATAATGTTAACCGACATGGAGATTACAAAATACATGCGGTTATGGATAATTTACTACTTAATTTCTGTTGTGATTATACTATTTTTTTTTTCGTTTGTTGTGACAAATAAGAATAAAACATACATGTATTGCACAGACATTAGTTTTCTATGAGGCCGGTGAAATGGATATTATGGTCTATACATATACATGTATATATTTATATTGGTACTTATGTTTTATTTCTTTTGACCGCCGCCACTACCCGCGCATGGCCTTGTTAATTGACCTCAATCATGATTGCAAGTCGCATTGCCAAGGCCGGCCAACCAGAGCAACTTTACATCCTTCCCATCACTAAATTGTGTGTGCCGATGCCATTTCTACTTTCTAGGTCAATGCGCCGCCGTCCGCACTACCTACTGCTGTTGGGCGTCTGCATATGTACGCCATCCGTGTCCGGATAATAAGTAGTCTCCCTCCTCCACCATTCGACGCGCGCCAAAAATACCCATGGCCGTCGGTAAATCGCGTACTTTTTTGCCTCTCGCCTATAACTATCGTTATAATCATCATCATAATTATTATTACTGGCTATTATTGTTGGTACCTATATCACATAGTTTCAGAATATTCGTGTGACAATTAGCGACGGATACATTACCCAATAACTACCGGCATACATATCATACGGAGAGAGAAAGAGAGAGAGAGCGAGTTCGATATAAATCCATCCAGTATGAGGAAAAAAATAAGATTATACACTAAAAAATACCTACGCGTCTCATTGAACAAGGAAACTGAAATTGATGATTAAATCTTGATTCAAAGAAACATACAATATTATACATTTAATTCTCATTTTTGTAGGTACGAATAAGGTACGCACAAACAGTGGTGAAACTAAGGGGGTAAGATTGTGATCGCTCCCCTTCCTCTCTCTGATAATAAATCCTGGTTGCGTCACTTCACATAATTTTAGATATGTCACTTAAAAACGTATTTAATTAACGTTTACTATAACAGCATCAGTACTAAAATAAGTGTGGTTGATAATGGAGGAATAACCCATTCCAAACATGTGTATCTATTCAAGTGTCATTTTAAAACCCTTATTCTAAAGAAAAATTATAAGTTACTGCTACTACATAACAATGAAAGCAAGCGTATGAAAAAGATTATTCATGGATACGGCAGGTACCTTTATACCAACATTTCAGTTCATGAATTTTAAAACTAAATAAAATAAATAGGTAATACCCTACGTAGTTTCTAAAAATATACACAAGTATTTAGAATATTTAGATGCTCTAATTGTAAATAATATGAATTTTATAATAACTATGTAGGTACTAATACATATAATTATAATTTCAAACATATAAATCACATCATATGCTGAAATGCGCACTTTTACCCCAAATCGAATCGCTATCTTACCCCAATATACTTTTCATTGTTGAAAAAATTGTATAAAAATAAGCATTCGTGTTATCAGAACATAATACATGATAAATAATAGGCAATATAGTGTAGAAATGGTAAAAAAAAAAGATTCCTATATAAATAACTTTTCCAGTGTGAATAACTAATTTTATTCTATCTAAATATAACATCAAAAAGTAAAAAATTAAAACTTATCTCATTTCGAGCTGTTGTTCAAGTAAATCTCGTTTTTTTTTTTTTTTTTTTGTTACTGATAAACATAGCTGGTATATTGATAAACACTAAACACTATGTCCTTAATTAAAAATCTCAATAATTTATAGATATCTTATATAGTTTATCTTACCCCAGGTTACTCTCTTATCATTATCAACAGTATTGTATTTAATATTTACTTATGTAGTTTTGTTATATTGTTATGTAGGAAGTCGTTTATTTTGTCTATATGTATTTTATAAATATACTTTTATAGGTATACAAAACTTTTGAGTAGAGTTCGGGATGTTTATGGATTTGCATATTTTATTCTGTTTATTCAAATTTATTTGGACCTGGATACAAATATAATTCATCTTCTATTGAATCAAATAATACCTACGATTTTTATTTTCTATATTTTTGAATATTCTGTGGTTTTATATTTTAAATGCACATATTCGGGATTTTAAGAATGTAAATACTTTAGTAGATTTTCAAATTTTTTTTAGTGTTTGTCCTGAATATTTCTAGATTCAAGTTTGATCAAATTAAAAAAAACAATTGTATCACAGTATGATGATCATATTGTAACTTTACTATACTTTTTTTTTTTAGCTAAACGCATATTTAGTACTTTTTAGTGTATAAATGCATACATATTACAGCCATTTTAAGTGTAATTTAATTATAAAAATAATATTAATAATAATAATACATAATATTTAATTCTAATTTTTTAAATTTAATTAGACAGGCGCATGCGCCGTTCAACTTTTTTTTCTTAATGGCAATCACTTATTTTAACCTCTAATTATTTGCCTAATATTTTAACGAATTTCAGTAGCTTAACCAATTTATTATACTAAATTATTATCAGTATTTTTAGGGTAATACTGAATATAATTGTTCTAGGGTTATTTAAACTTGAAATTTGTATCCCCATTCATTAAGGTGAGATTTACACGTTGATATAATTTTAACTATATTTTAACTACTGTTAAATTTCACTTAAATTTGCGCAAGAATTATAACCTGGGATCGGGACTTATAGCACTTAAAATCATTAAAATAAGCGCTTAAAAATATCATTATAAGCACTAAAATAAACGTTTAAAATTTTAAAATTAAGCTAAAATATTTATTCAAAAAAAAAAAAACTAAAATTCTAACTAAAAAATCAAACAAAATAAAAATAAATCTTCACTTTCAAGGCCTTAAGGATTTATGGATTTTCTAAGGGATTTTTCAGAAAAATAAAATGTAAACTGTTCTCTCTGTTCTTGATCATCCTGACGTTTGACACGTAGTTCTATTTTCAGCGTTGGAATATCTTTGTTAATCCTACAATGATGCCTTGGACGGCGACAAACTATGTGACAACATAGATAAGAATTATTTTTAATTTTAATTTTATCAAAAAACGACTTTATAAGAGAAAACTATAAAAAGGTAAAAAAATTGGTCAAATAAGTAGGCAAAAGTAATCAGAAAAACTGGAAATAAGCATTATTTTTAAAAATTGATGAAAAAGCAAAAAAAAAGCACTTTTATTAAATGTGTATTTTTTATGTAATAAAAACCAACTAAAAAACAGAATTCAAATTGCAAGTCTCTGATATTGATATTGACTTCTCAATTTTAGTGAAATTATAAATCATAATAAAATATTAAATAATGGTAAATAATAAAATGTTATTAATTTGTACAAAATGTTAAAATATATGAATGTAATGTAATAAATTTAATTATATTATTTACTTAAATTAGACAGAATAATGACAGGTCCATATTTTTTACTGTTAGCTTAATATTATTACTATATTATCAAATATTATATTAAATAAATTTAATAATTCACAAACCATCATTCTCATCTACCAAACACTTTATAAAAAAATATAATACTTCCAATTACTTCCAAAAGGCATTAATTGCCGCAATTTACAAAATTATTTTAATTAAGTACTATATGTAATATAATAATTTAGCTTTTAAGTGCCAATTTTTATTTATCAAACTATAAATTAATATACCAATTAACTATTGTTAAATTATGCTTGTTAATTAATTAAAATTATATTAAATTAATTAAATAAAACCTTTCATCATAGTTATTAATATTTATTGATGTTTGTTTTGTTTGATAATTAATATTATAAGTTATTACTTTTTCCACTAAAGTTTATACTTCTATACTTAAAAAATGTGCAGCATACAATATATTTTAAAAGCCAATAAAGTTATAATATTTAAGTTATAAGTAAATTACCACTAAGAAGTTCAAAAGAAAAATTTGCATATCTAGTCCAAGTTAGTTAGTGTAGCAAAAACTAGTATATAAAAAGTTCAAATAATTTAAAACAAGTGAAGTATGTTGTTTATTTAAAATAATAAAATTAATCTTAACTATTTAATTTTATAGGCCAGACCACAAATGAGACATTTAATACTTCACTATATTCTACTAAAGATGTCTTCTTGTCAAAAAGTGTACCTAAACAATTTAAAATACAGTACTAACAATATTTTAATATATTATCAAATTTTAAATAACATAAGATAATGGAAATTTTTTTGAGTAATAAAGTCCAGCATAGAATAGATCAATTCATTTGTTTAATGACCATGTTTTCAAATATCTAAAGTAAAGTAAAAATTTACTGTATAATATTATAACTTAGAGAAATTGTTTATTATGATAAGCTAATTTTCTAATTTCAGTTACAAAAATAGCATTGAAAAACTACTTAACATAGTTAAAACTAGTTTAGAAATAAAATAAAATGGTTTTACTCTTGTTACAACAATTATATTTATTTAGAAGATGAAAAATTAATCATAGACTGTAAATTCAAATACATAAATCTAATTAATTCATTTAATTACTATATAACAAAAATTTCCTTTGTAAGTTCTGGTAATTTTTTTTTATTTTACCTGAAAAAAAAACCAACTATAAATAAAAGAATATAAAACAATTGAAACAAAAATAATTTACTTACCACATTGCTCTTTGAACTCCAGCCAATTTGTTGTAATCAGCTAAATGTCTGAACACTATTCTACTTAAACGCCATCTTTTGACATTACCTCGAGGACGAGATGTTATCTGACACCGTTGAACAATTCTGGTTATACTAGCATCCCTTGGACAGTTGTAGATTTCTTTGTCGGCAATTTGCTATAAATATATATAACAAAAATATTGAGTGGTACAAATAATTGTTTTTCTTTAATACTTGAATTTCCAAAGGAATGATATCATTTTTACGAAGTGCATTATAGCGTAACTTGTATACACCATAATCTCTAAGGGTATCTCTTTTACGTGCATCTTTTTTCATTCTATAATCAGGCCATTTGTTGCGAATTTGTTGATTTTGAGGAAGTACTCCTAACTAAAAAGTTTTAAGAGTTTTAAAGAACAATTAAGTTGAGTAAGTATAATAATATACTTACACATGATTCGTTCATCGGTGTTGTCAATTTTCCCAGAACTCGGAATCTTAAAAGAGCATTAACAATAAATGCCATTTTAATTTAAACTTAATAAAACTTGAAGAACGTTAAATTAAAATTCGAACATTGAACAATATAATATTACATTTATTATTATTCATATGTACCTGTAGTTATTATTATCTTTATTCTTAGTCTAAATATATTAATGATAACATATCAACTCTGATAACTTTTTGTGATAATACTTATGTATTTCATATTAAATGTTTAATTTTTATTTTTTTGGTGTAAACTACGTTTTTAGTATTAAAAATGACTTTATTGTTTAATGATTGTTTGTATAAGTAAATTTATAGTATTTATGAACTGAAAATATTTTTGTTGAAGTATTATTAGTTTTTTATTTTCAGTATTAAAAATTTAGTATTATTATGGAAATTCATAACTCAAATGATGATGTATGCAAAAAAATTAACTATTTTTATTCTATTTTTTAAACTGTTTTACTTCTAATTTGTTCATAATATTAATCATTTTTAATTGAAATATGTGTACAGGTTTTACAAAAATTATCAAAGGAAGAAATTTGGAATAAATATCAAAATGAAATCAATCAAATGAAAAAAGAAAATGAAGGTATTTATTATTACATTTTTACTATATTTATATAATATTAATGTTTGAATTAAACGTTAATAGTTTTCATTCTGTTTCTGGTTTTTTTTTTTTTTTAAATATTTGATCCTTTTATTAATAAACTTGTATTTCTTACATTTTGGAGATTTTAATAAAAAGAAAATATTGAATTTTTAATTAACTAATTTTTTGTATCACATAGAGTTACACGATAAAGAAAAAATATGGGAGCAGAAGTTTATAGATCAACAACGTTTGTATGAACATTCAGAAAAACAAGTAAAATAATTTAAAAATTCAAGAGTGATAAAATACTTATGATAATGTTCTGGTTTATTAAATATTAATATAAAATAATTATTTATTTAAAATTTAAGTTATAATGATTAATATTATTATTTATTTCCAATTTTTACATCATTATTTATAGGAATTATTGAAAAAAAATAAAGAATTGCAACAAGCTGAATCAACTATCAATAATCTAAAGGAAAAAATTAATATGTTAAACAGCCAACAAAAAGATGAAGTAGACGCTTTGCAAAAAACACTCCAAAGTAACAAAAGTGCATTGGATGCTATGAAAAAAACCATGGACAATGAAAAAGCTTTTAGAATTTGTGCTGATGAAGAAATAAAGAATCTTAAAGAACAGATAAAATGTAATAATATAAAATTTAAATCTTTAGAGACAGAAATTGAAAAGTTGTTCCATGAAAAATTAAAAATAGAAGAAACTAAAAATAAAATTAGTTCACAATGTAACGAGTTAATACAAAAAAATATTTCTTTAGAAAATCATTGTGAAAAAAAAGATTTAGCATTTGACGAACAAGCAAATATAATTAACAAATTGGAAAATAATATTACTGAACTTAAAGAAAAGATTAAGAATTATAATGAAATAGAAGAAGAAAACAACAAATTTGTAAAACAAATAAAATTATTTTCTAAGCAAATGGAAACTTATGAAAATGAGAGAGAAGTTTATGTTCAAAGACTTCAAAATATGCAGAAAGAAGAAAATGTGTTGAAAAGTATTATAAAAGAATTAAAAGTAGAAATTGAAGTAAAAAATAATGAAATTAAGACTCTTAGTGAAATTAATTCTGATTTGAGTTCTAAAACTTCAAAGTTAGCTACTAATTTAAATAACTTACAAATAAATTTTACTGATTGTTTAAAACTTTTGGATGAAATTTTTGAAAATTATGTTAAAAATCAAATAAAACATAATAACATAGATGAAAATAATAAACTGTCATTCAAATTTGAACCATATTTAAATGAAGCATTTGAACTATTTGAAAAAACTTTAACAGAATATAAAACACTGAAATTCACTTATAAAGAGTCTGAGATAATTTTAAAAGATGAACTCAACAAAAAGGAAAATATAATTGAATCATTAAAAAATAAAATAAGTAACTATAAACAAGAAATAATAAAAAATGGAACAACAATTCCTAATTCTTTGGAGACAAAGAACCAGAATACAGGATTAAATATAAAACAAACCCAAAATGATACTGATTTGAATAATAAAATTATCCTTGTTGATGAAATTAATAAAAACTTACAGTATATTCATAACATTAAGATTGAAGTATTACCTAAACAAAAACTTTTAGTGTCTAATTTTAGAGAATTTATGTTAGAAAAAATAAAAGAAGTTGAAAATTTAAACATTTCTAAAAACAACTATATTGATAATGTACACTTGCAAGTAGATAATTTAAAAAAAAAAATTGATAGTAAAAATATAACTATAAGTAAATTCGAAGCAGAAGTATTAAAACTTGAAGAGAAAATTACAGAAAAAGATGCTTTGTGTAATGAAATGGAAGTTGAATTACAACACTTAAGAGATAATATTGGTACTTTTTAATTATAATTTAGTCAATTTGTTTAAGTTCTCATTAATATTTGTCATTATGTAGATGGTTCAAGTACTTCATCAATTAGTAGAGCAGATGAGATTTATAGATTGCGTGAAATGGATGAAAGTCAAGAAGATCGTTCTCAAAAGGTTATTTTTTTTATTTTTTTATATTTAAATTTTTTTTTTTTTTATAATTATAATTTATAATCCTTTTTAAATAGTAGTGAGACCAACTATACTATATGGTTCAGAGTGTTGAGCGGTTGACTAGATGATAGAACAGACTATGAGTGTTGAGGAAATGAGAATGCTTAGATGGATGAGTTGAATGATAAGAGAAGATAGAATAAGAAACAAATATGAGAAAGGTAATATTGGTGTAACATCTATAGTGAACAAGATGAGAGAAAATAAACTGAGATAGTTTGGGCATGTGATGAAGTGAGAGGAAACAAAAGCAGTGAGAGTGGTTATGAAAATGAACATTGAAGGGAAAAGAGAAAGAAGAAGATCAAAAAAGAGATACAATTGAAATTATTTGAGAGCTATTGGTGTGTGCGTAGAGGATATAGAAAATTGAGACTAGTGTAGGTTTAGGACAAAGATGGTCGACCTCAAATAGTTGGGAGTAAGGCGAAAAAGAAGAAAATTGATCGTTTTAAATAACAGTTCATTTTATTCATATCATTCATGATAAATAATTTGAATTTATTTTTAGTTGAAAGCCATTGCTATAAAACAAAAAAAACAAATATCTGATTTAAAACAATTCATAGAAAATGAAATAAAAAAACATAATCAAGAAAAAAGTGAATTATTAAGCAAGATGGCAGCTTTAGCTGAACAAGGGAAACTTGCACGTGTAAGGATCTATATTTTTATACTAAAAATCAAATATTTTAAACATAAATTTACAATTATTCTTTTTAAAAATATGAAAATTAAAAGTTATATTACAATTTTCTGTATTCTGAAATATTGTATTTCAATGTGCTATATTTTCATATTAGTGCATTGACAATATTGTAGATATGAAGTTACTGTTAGTTCCAAATGATTATGAAAAATTTTACTGATTTTTAAATTGATTTGTTAATAAGTTGCAATAGTTTAATTTGTTTAAGTAAATTAAAGTTTTTTATCAGTGTTTATTTTTCAGTGTTTACAACAACAGTATGATATTAAATGTGATGAGTTTGACATTAAATGTAAAGAAACTAAAGAATTAAGTAAAAAGTTGAAAGAAGAAGAAAATAAATTATTAGAGCAGACTAAGTTATGCTTGAATTTAAAATCAGATATTGAAACATTGAAGAATGACTTAGTAAATGCTCAAAAAACTATCAATTGGTAATTTGTACTTTTCTTATTACATTGATTAAAATTAAAATATTTTAGTCTTGTTTTCATTTAAATTTAATATATTTTAAGTTTAAAAGAAGCAGAAAAATCTTTAATTTCAAAGCTTGAAATAATTAAGCAAGAAAAATCTGCCAGTGAAATTCTCAAAGCAGATCGAGAAGCTTCAATTAAAGAACTTACAAACAATTTAAAAGTTTCTAAAGATAAACTTAAGTCTATGGAATATGAATTGGACAAATTAAAAACAGATAAACAAAAAATTAATATTCGTGATCTTGAGTTAAATTCGTATGAAGTAGGTTTTTGTTAATTATTTTTAAATTATATGGTTAACTAAATAATTTAATTTTAAATTTAATTTTTAGAAAACCTTGGATGAGTTATCTCAAAAAGTGAAAGAAGAAAAGTTACATAGTGAACATTTAGAACAAGAACTCTCAAATGCTAATAGTGTTATTGATTCTTTGCATGAACAAATAAAACATTTAGAAAATATTGTTATTACTGAACAAGAAAGAAATAAACAGAGTTCAGTAAGTAGAATTTTTACAATAACAATTAATAAAAAAAATGTGCTTATATTTCAATAATATTTAAAATAATAGAAAACTAAATTGCATTATTTCCTTCTAAATAACAAAATGATAATTTTTCATTATAAATCTATTTGTATGATTTTTTTCATACTATTATAGTAAACTTTCAATTATCCGCAAAGTTGGTAGCGTGACAACTGCAGATAAGCAAATTTGTGCCTGATTTGAAATAGGATGGAAAGGGCTGATAATCTATACAAAAATGCTTTTAACATGTTATTAGTAGGCTTAGGGACTTCTAGCATTTGCATACTTTTTTTAAATATTGTTAAAAATAGCAGAGTGCGAAATAAATTCGTTTCTCGGTGCCATGATATCAGATCTAAAATTTGAATGTGCATATTTTTGCATATTTGATAGATTTTGCAGGAGAGTACATATTTTAAAATTGTTATGCTTATTTTGCATATTTTGACAAATATTTAAAATTAAAAACTATTGATACATATATACATATATACATATATACATATTCTAACCAATCAAAAAAAAAAAATTTATTAAGAGAACGTTTAGTAGAATGATAATATAATTAAGAGTACTTCCAGTTATATGCCATCTGCAAACTACTTCTCATATCTCTTTACACTTTTTGTATAAATTATACTATAAATCCGTATTGACCGTATAACCCGTTGGATATCGACCGGATGTCGATAAAGATAATAGTCGATATACAATAATAGATTATATGTTTAGTGTTCAGTTGATAAATACTACGTTATTGTGTACTATATTTATTTATAATCAATCTGATTTAAAATGTTATTTTGTAGTAATAACAATAACATATTTGAGTTTGGTGATTTTATTATTTGTTAAATTTTAGCATCAAATAGAAATATGTAGAACGGGTCTGAATAATGCTGAATCATTACTTAATGAAAAAGAAAACCTTTTAAAAGAATGCCAAGAAACTTTAAACAATGAAAAGATATTAAATACAGATTTAACCAATAAGTATGATAAATTACATACCCAATATGATACTGATAAAGAAAATTATCAATTGCAATATACCCAACTAAATGAAAAAGTAATATTATTTTAACCATTGTTATTCTGAATTTTAATAAACATTTATATTTTCTTAGATTCGAAGATTACAAGTTGAGTTAAAAACAGCCAATGATTCTATTGCTAATTACGTAGAAGAAAATCAAAGTTTAGTTGATGAATTTGAAGCATATAAAATAAGAGCACATAGTGTTTTTCAAAAACACAAACAAGATACTGTGTATAATGCAAAAGTTGTAGAATTAGGTGAACAACTTCAAGAAGTTACAAAAGCTTTCAATGTTTCAAAAACTAATTTACAAATTGTGGCGTAAGTAGTATGAAGAAAATATTTTTCGTTTTAAAAATGAATTTAAAAATTTAAATTATACTTTAGGTCTGAGCTGTCAGCTAAATACACAGAAATAAGTATGTTACAAGAGGAAATAAATAAATATGAAAAAAAACTAAGTAATGTTACTAAGACTTTATCAATAAAAGACAAAGAAATGTATCGTTTAAATATTGAAATTGAACATCTCAAATCAATATTAGAAGTAGAAAAAGCAACTCTTAATGTAAGTTAAATATCTTAATATATAGTATTTAAAATATTTAATCAATACAATATGTAATTTCAATCTCAGGAAAAAATGTCAAGTGAAAGACTGGCACATGAAAAAGAAATTGAAAAGCTTCAACAAGAAATTGCTTTAGTTAAAGAATTAACTGCACCAGTATTGAATGCAGAGTTACCTGTTGTTGAAAATAAACTTAAAGAATCAAATTCTTCAAATAATATTCATGATGATGATGAAATGGTTTGTTTGTCTAATATAATTATGAAAAATTTCCTTGTTTCTCAGAATTTAAAATGTACTATGAATTCTTTAGTTTTCAGATTTTGCTAGTTCAAATGAATCAGTTAGAAAAATTAGTAAGTCTGCATTAATGCCTTTGGAAGATCTCTTATCCTTTGATAACTATAGTGGTAATGAATTATTAGTTTTATTTAAATTTATAAATATTTATTATATTTATTTATAATTTTTTATTCATCAGTGGGTGATCCAGTTACCGAATTGAATACTAATCAGAAGCAACTGAAACAATTAACTTTAATGTTAAATGAAGCTGAAAAAAATTGTTCACGATATGAACAACAAAATAAATTTCTGAAAGAAGACATTAGAAGATTACAACGTAGTGTAGATAGACATGCTGAAATACAAAATATGGAATATTTAAAAAATATTATTATTAAGGTGATTTTTAGTCTTTAATTTATATGTCAAAATATTTATTTATTTTTTTTTCAAACAGTTTATCACTTTATCAAGTGGTGTAGAAAAAAGTCATTTAGTACCAGTAATAAATAAACTGCTCAAACTTAGTCCAGATGAACAGAAGCAGATTGAAACTATTGCTAAAGGTAGAATATACCTTTCATATTAAATAAATTGAGTGGTAATTATTAAATAAATTTTATGTTTTGTAAAATGTAGGGTCAGCGACAGATCCAAATTCAAGCTGGTCTAGTTTATTTACATGGTCACAAGGAACTTAATCAATTTCTAGGTTTCATAATACAATTTGATATATTAATGTAGGTGCTTGATTATTAAGTATTCTTTTTATGTTATATTTTAATTATTTCCAAAAATGTGTTTTAATATAAGCAAATTGTATTGATTATATGAGTAGAATTTGATGCTTTATACTTAAATTAAATTTAAAAAGTCCGATCCTTGTGTTAAATTTTTCACTTGATTAGTCATTGTTTATATGAATATAATAAATTATTACTTATTTCACTGACTTAAATCTAGTCAATACAACATCAATAGGAATAAACAACTATTTTGAAGCTCTTTTTGTTTTATCTAGAGTTTAATTTTAAAAATTTATCTAAATTTTAGATAGTTATTTGTCTTTTCCAAATCCAACCATTCAAATTATTATACATCATATTTAAAAAAGTGTTATTTTTTGTATTGTATATATATATATATATATTTTTTTTTTTAATTTTAAATTTATTTAAATAATATACATATAGTTTATGAAATATTATTTATTTATTATTAAGTGTTTTATATGTAATATAAAAAGAATAATTTGATGTTCTTACCACTGATGTATTCTTTTTTTTTATAGACAACTTTTTATCTATAAAATTATTTTTATTACTAATAAACACAAATTTGTTTTACATTATAACTAGACTATATTGTCAACACACTTTGAGTCTACTAATAATATATCAGTTAGCTATACCATAGATTTCTGATTCATATAATAATTTGTGAATATTTAATATAATTTATTATTTAAATTTAATAAGGGAAGTATTATAAATCGTAACTGTTAAAATTAGAATATTCTCAAGATTAGTGAGTACATAAATTGTATTAATTAAATTGATTTCTTAGATCTTATTTAAGATAAAATTGTTCATGAAAAACTACAATAAAAACAGTTAACAGTTTAACTATGACTATAAATTATAAATTATATAATAGGTATATTATGATAAAATTACAACAATCGGGTTTGTCACTTGAGTTGCTAACTTATTAAAATGGTATGGTATTTTAATTATAAAATAATGAATTATCAGTAGGCAAAAACAGTGAATTTAGTTTTAAGTTTACGCAGTTATTAAATTGCTCAATGTGACAACTTGGTTATCAAAAAGTCAATTTTAATTTAGTTTTAAAATATTCCAATAGTTCCAAATAAAATTAACAATATCACCAAAATAGATTATTAATTAAAACAGTAATTTATTAGCTCAAAACACGCATATAGACTATAGAAACATATATACATATAACCCTATAGGTTGCCATGAATTTATAAAGCGAAACCCGAACAACACAAACACAATATTGAGTAATATATTTTTAATATATTGGGAGGACCAGTGACGTATACAAGGGGGGTTGTAGAGGTCAGATTCCCCTAGGCCCTTTTTCAAATGTTATAAAATAATGCTCTTATCGTGAAGGTGATAGAAACGTAAAAAAAAAAATTATAATAAAATAAAAATAATGATTTGTTTGCAAATGATCCCCCCCTCTTCATACAAAAGTTATGTATACGCCACTGAAGAGGACCATTTATGGCCGGCAATATAATGTTTAAAAAATTTTTTGTAAAATAAAGTATATTATATATTGTTAATCAATTACGACTAAAAATGTACTTTGAGATAAAATAGTCAATATTAAGAAATAAACAATACTAAATTTCCTCTAAAAGCCTGAATATATGGACGTCCCGAAAATATTTTTCGGGACACCGGGACGCAAAGTCCAAAACCGGTGACAATCCCGGTTTTCCGGAACGTATGGCAACCCTAATATAGACTATAGTATGATTATAGCTGAAACATCTAAAATTGATAAAAAAAAACGCAAGTATAAAAACACAACACAATTAAAAACCATCAATATGGATCTAAAACTATCTAGCATTGATGATTAAACCTTAAAAATTCGTAATTATGGTGAAAACGCGGTTATATTAAATAAAAGAACAATTTTAATCTTAATTATTCCTTGAAATTATTATCTTCAATTCAACCATAATTATTGCCAACCTATTTACATTTATGTTAGTATAAGAATTACGATATAATTGTGATAATTTAAATAAAATGTGGAGTTTGTCATAGTTTGTCATTGCTCATAAGTCATAACCATTATGTTCTTTTTTCCAATATCTAATGATTTGCTTAATATGGGCAAGGTACAAATTATAAATTGATTAATGTGGCTTAATAAAAGCTCTTAATGTTTAAATAATGGACCAATGCATTTTACCTATATTTGATCTAAAACCACTTTTTTGTACTAGTGTTATGCGTCTATGGTTCTTATTCAAATAATAGTTCTATAGTTGTTGTAGGTAATATTAAATGAATTATAGCTCTTAATTTTTTTTCATTTAGATATTTTTCCACCGATTATTAGTCGTTATAAGTAATGCATGTAAAAATTCTGGGTGATGAATTGTTTAACAAGTCTGCTTTATTACCTATATACATTTATAATATAAATTTGAAATTATCATACATTAAATTATTTTTTAGATAATTATAATATTATATATTTTTTATGGTTCTCGATGTTTTGAATTGTTTATTACTAATCATCTTTAATTTTATATGAATCTAATGAATAATCTGATACGTCATACGTGTTTCATAAAGTTAAAAAAGAAAAATGGTATTAATTTATAAAATGAATTATGTATGACCGGTTAAACAAAGTATACAATAATGTATACCTACTGACATACTGACACTTCTTGGTCTTTGATCGCTTTGCTTTTTGATAACTATAATACATATTAATAGTTATTATTAAGCCAAATTTATAATATCAGTTGCAGAAAATTATGTATGGCAATAAATTATGAAAACAAATCTCAGGTTAGTTCATATCACGATTAAATATAGTACTGTCTTTAATCGTGGTCCATGGTTATATACTTATTTTTAACGAGGAAAGGCGGAATGTGTAATCAGAAAATCACGGGATTGTGAGTGGTTTTAATATCTCGAATCTTGCCTATCAATCAACAATAACTCAAATGTGGAAAAATAATAAAATAAAAGTTTTGATTTTTCTCCAAAAATGATTACATTTGATAAAGGCGAACGACTGTTCGTAAATCGTGATAGTAAGTTATGACGATTGAGGGGGACAAAAAACAGATTCATGATGATTACGAAGGTGAATCCAGTGTACGTTGGACAGTGGCTAGACCGTGAAAACGGAAGCCAATATTGTAATGGATGTTGTTGAAAGCATGTGCAATGGTTAGCATCATCCAGTGGATAAATTGCAGTTGACTAGTGTCTAGCGGTGACAGCAATCATGTGGAATCCACATGACCAGTGATGTGATGAACGAATCATTCCTTTGGAACGAGTCCAGAGGAGGAACGAATCGGAACGATTTCACATACTCGGTTCTTTTAGATGCAATATTCCTACCGACTAATTATTCTACATTTGCGTATTGTGTATGACTATTATCACAGAATAAAACACTTTATTAATAACTAATGGAAGCAAGTTCAGTCGCACAGTTAGTGGTAATGCATTTTTAATTCACAAATGTCGACCTTTGAAATACACAACTATTCTCCAGGCCGACAATACCACTGTTGAGACGGTAGAGACAACGCTATCTAGAGAAGTTTACAGTAATTAGGTTCGGTGCCGGTTCACGATAAGTAATGATAATAAAAAGTACCGAAAGGAACGATGGAACGAGTCGTTTGGAATTGTTCCTTTTGTGGAACTGGAACGAAAGGAACGATTCACTAAAAATAAGGAAGTACCCCATCACAAATGTGAATATATTTAAAATTTGAAAGAAAATGTATGTGACACGCGGGATACGTGTCAGGTAGGTTGGCAACGACGACAGTGCCGGCAATATTGGTGCCCGGTAGTTGATTAATCTCAAACCCCATGTGTGTCGGCCAAAGTTGGGGTAAAGAAAAGCCTTAGGATCAAATTTAGACAAAAAATGACACAAGTTTTGAATAGAAAAATTTTAGACAGAACCAAAAAAGAAAATTTTTTGGTTTTAAACAGCTTCAGGGCGCCAAAACAGATTTTCGTAATGTCGGTACCGGTATACCGACGGCCATGTTTTTCACTCGACCACCACCCTGGCCCGGTGTGCTAAGCTAGGATCGCTCTCTTTCCGTGATCGCTGTGCTATCGTCGTGTGCGCTGCTCGTCGACCGAACATTTTTTCTTCGCCTCCGTCGACTTCATTGTGTTTGGTCGATTTTCATCCGTTTTAATCTCACATCTTGATACTATTTCATCTATAAACGGTAAGTAAAACGATTTGCTATTTAATTTTCATTGCGTTTTTGTAAATTGTCGCGACGATTAGCTTTGAATCACCGGCCGACTCGCGTCACGGTGTTTCGGCCAGCGGTGAACATCGGTCACACGCGAACGTCATTACGTATGCGCTGCGGTCAGTTCACGTTTTTCTTATGATTATTAATCTGTGTTTACTGTTTGTGGAGAGATTTAATTTGCCGACGATCGTCCTCGTTTGTGCAGTGCGCCGATTTGGTGGTGTATCTCGTTTGAAACGGTCGGCGTCATCGCGCCGGAAGGTGTGTTGAATATTGAACAACTTCGTATTTGCGTAAAACCCCCTTTACTTCATCCTTAGTGTCTGACCTTATGTATAAAAATGTTCAACCCTTTTTTTGCTGTTACCATCAGGTCTCGTTTAAATTCGGCTCTCTTTCATGTTATATTCTGCTTATGTGGCAAGTAGTGCAATCGACTAAACATGCATGGTTTGATGGGTTGACGTTTGCTTGCGTGTCCCGATACACTGTAATTCATCATTGTATTATGATTCTATTATTTTATTGTAATTTTCGTTTGATATATTTCCTGATTTTGGGTGCGAATGAAATCTGTGATTTGTGTACAATTGCCGGCCGTCGGTTTGTTGGTTGGTACCATTGTATTGTATGACACATGTTTAGGGATATTGGTTAGGAGAGCACGATGCAGTTGCGTGTGATTTTAGTTCCACGTTCCGAGATTATACGTCATATTGCGTGGTTCATTCACCTCAATATTGCATTTTCGTTTTATTGAAATTCTGTTTATTCTTAATATATGGTTACTTAAATTATGTTAGTATGGATCTTATTGATCTGTTTTTAACTTAAGATAAACTAAACTTTTTTAAAAATTATTTTTTTTTGTATACTAATATAAAATTATTTTAAGTACAAGAATGTAATTTTAATTTATAATTTATGAGTTTGTCAAATGATTGTTCACATTTTAAATTTATTGTATCTTATTGATGTTTTTAGATTAACCATGGGAAAAGAGAAGGTTCATATTAACATCGTTGTCATTGGACACGTAGATTCTGGTAAATCTACAACAACTGGTCACTTGATCTACAAATGTGGAGGTATTGACAAGCGAACAATTGAAAAGTTCGAGAAGGAAGCCCAAGAAGTATGTCATTGTATCTATATTTATACGTTGGATTTTTTTTTTTTATCATAGATATATTCATAAATTATTTTATTTTAGATGGGAAAAGGTTCTTTCAAATATGCTTGGGTTTTGGACAAACTTAAGGCTGAACGTGAACGTGGTATTACCATTGATATTGCCTTATGGAAATTTGAAACTGCCAAGTACTATGTTACCATCATTGATGCACCTGGTCACAGAGATTTCATCAAGAACATGATTACTGGTACTTCCCAGGCTGATTGTGCTGTGCTTATTGTTGCTGCTGGTACTGGAGAATTCGAAGCTGGTATCTCCAAGAACGGTCAAACCCGTGAACACGCTCTATTGGCTTTTACCCTTGGTGTGAAACAACTGATTGTTGGTGTGAACAAGATGGACTCTACTGAACCACCGTACAGCGAGGTATATTTTTTAATAATTTTCAATGTTATTATTTAATTAACAAATTTGTCTGATTATTTTAGGCTCGTTTCGAAGAAATCAAGAAGGAAGTTGGAAGTTACATCAAGAAGATTGGTTACAACCCAGCTGCTGTTGCTTTTGTGCCCATCTCTGGATGGAATGGAGACAATATGTTGGAAGTATCTGACAAAATGACATGGTTCAAGGGATGGAGTGTTGAACGTAAAGAAGGAAAGGCTGATGGTAAATGTTTGATTGAAGCTTTAGATGCTATCCTCCCACCTAGTCGTCCCACAGACAAGGCTCTTCGTCTTCCACTTCAGGTATATAACTAATAATTTATTCCTTCTTGTAAATTAAATTTATTATTGATATATTCATATTTTCTTAGTAACTGCTCTATATATTTTAATTTTTCTTGTATTATAATAGGACGTCTACAAAATTGGAGGTATTGGAACAGTCCCAGTTGGTCGTGTGGAGACTGGTCTTTTGAAACCTGGTATGGTTGTTGTTTTCGCACCGGCCAACATCACAACTGAAGTTAAGTCCGTGGAAATGCACCACGAAGCTCTTGTAGAAGCTGTTCCCGGAGACAACGTTGGTTTCAACGTAAAGAATGTTTCAGTCAAGGAATTGAGACGTGGTTTCGTTGCTGGAGACACAAAAAACAACCCACCCAAAGGTGCTGCTGATTTCACTGCCCAGGTAAATTATTATATTGTATAATTTATCATGAATTTTAATTAATTTTTTCCTTTGTTCTAAGGTTATTGTATTGAACCACCCTGGTCAAATTTCCAATGGATACACTCCAGTTTTGGATTGCCACACAGCCCATATTGCTTGCAAGTTTGCAGAGATCAAAGAAAAGTGTGACCGTCGTACTGGTAAAACTACTGAAGCCAATCCAAAAGCCATCAAGTCTGGAGATGCTGCCATCATCACCTTGGTACCATCCAAGCCTTTGTGTGTTGAAGCTTTCTCAGAATTCCCTCCCTTGGGACGTTTTGCTGTACGTGATATGAGGCAAACCGTTGCTGTTGGTGTGATCAAGGTATAAATCCAATACTTAATCAATGAGCATAGATAATTTTGTATATTATTTATTTCTTTATTTATAGAGTGTCAACTTCAAAGACTTGGCTGCGGGTAAAGTAACAAAGGCTGCTGAAAAAGCTCAGAAGAAGAAATGAATAGGCGTAGCAGTAGCGCACACACGTCCTTCAGTTAGGTCAAACGAAAGTTGGCATAGGTGTCAGATACCATCCCAACTTCAAATACTATCCAAATGGCTGTTGCAACCTTGTTTTCATCGTAAAGAATTTCGCAGGAAAAAATCGTGTTGTGCTACTCAATATCATGATAATTTTGTTTTTATTTTTTATTTTCAACAATTTTTCAAATTTGTTTTTAGTTATGTTTAACTTATTGATAGGGATGACATAATTATAAAATAGTTTTTTTTGATAATTGTATGTATAATGCCTTAATTTGGAAAATATTTTTTCTTAAACTAATTTATCATTCTATGATGTTATAATTTATACCTTACTTTAATTTTATAACATTTTTTTTTTTACTGCATCTATGACTACAAATTCCATTTGGCCCAACTGAAAACATAGCCGCCGCCTATACATTGTGTCTACGTTTGTCTTAGAACAAATAAAACACATATATAACTATTTCCTTCTTTCATTCGTTGTCTTATTTAATTTTTTATCAACCTTAAGTTACTCTACTATCTCTGGTTAGTCTGAATTTATATTTTATTAATCAAGTATAAAATATTACCTTATTTAATTTTGAGCTGGTTGGTAGGTTATAACTTGTTTTTGTATTCAAGCTTACATGCTTGTGCAAAGTGATATATATATATATATATATATATACTACCTGGTTCGATATTTAAATGTAGTAATTTCAATGTTAATTTTTAACCAATCTTACTGTGTAGTTCATCTAATAATTTTTTTCATCTATACTTGTTGGTTATCAGTTAATTCTAGAATGTAGATTTTTGAAATCATCAGCTTGTATTGAATATACTTGGATAAAAGAATGTACGGTGATGTCGAACCTTTTTCCTTAGCGAGCCACCAGATATTAAAGTATGAGTAATATCAATATTAATCTAATTTTGTTATTTTTTTACACATAGTAGGTATACATTAATAAGGTATTTTACAAAAACGAAATTGAACATTTATTTTTTTTTTTGCCTAGTTTTACACTTGAAAAATATATTTTTAATTATCCTGTCAGCGGTTTTATATTGTTAATATTTTAACATTTTCTTTTGATTTCATCTGAATTGGTTTCCAATAAAGATTTTCGAAAAAGATAATCTCCATAAAAGGGATTTTCCGAAATTTTGGAGAGTTCTTATAAGGGAAAATCTCAGATGAACATTCGGCATGGGAAATCGAATTTTTTTTATAGGAAATTAAACAACTACCATTTTTGAATTATAATAAGCCTATACCTACACTTGGTTTTTTATTATTCCATTGAATTGGCAAACATATATTAACATTTTAACATATAATTCAGAACTTTTTATAAATTAATATTTTATTATATCTTTACGCTCCAATATGATAACATCAATTGATGATGTAACTTGATAGTTTAGGTTATTATATTCAAATATTCAATTGTTTCTCTTATTACATACGGTTGCTAAAGTGTATATAGCATGCCGTCATATTAATTTCCAGTGAAACCGTTTCCGTGGTTTATTTGTGCCAAGGGCGGTTCATAAGAACCTTTAAGGAGAGAGAGGAGCGTAAATATTTTGTATAAAAATATTTATTCCACTAAATTTCTTATATTGCTCGGTAAATAAAATGTAATTATATATGTCATAAACTTTTGCCATAACGGCATATCATTATAAATATAGGTATATTAATATATAAAAACTTAAACAAAACTGTTTATTGATCAAACATAATTAAAAGTCAAAAATATTTCCTATTTATAACTCGTACATCATACTCGTATTGCTTATGCAGTAACAAGCAAATTGTACCGTTAATGACTAAAATACTAAAATTTGAAGTATAATTTGAACACGGCATTTCTTTCCATATTTTTGGATTTGTTTTGCAGCACCTCATGTTGTTGGTGTCAATCAGCGAACATCCATTAGTCCTATCAATAACACAATGTGTTGGTGATACATGTAATATTTTCTAAATTAAATTCAAAATTATTTTATATCTTTTCAATGGTTTCATCTAAAAGTGTTTCTATAGCATTCGGCTCAAAATACTTTTCATTACTAACACTTTCATTTTCGTGTATCTGTCGAATATCCTTTTTCTTTGTCTGACATATATTTATGACCACCTATAAAACATAATTTTTGAAAATGTAAAGAATATTAAGTGTCATTTGTGATGCAAACACCTGTTGTTCCATAAAATACAATATATTCCTTTGCATCCAACATAACTAGAAGTAACATTTCTTGTCAACAATACTCAAAATGTTATTATTTATATATATATATATATATGAAATGTCCTTAAATGGTTTTTGAGAATTATCTTTACCTAGTAATATTGCATTATTGCATATTTTTTTGAGAACTCAGTTACTAAAGGCTTTAACTGTTGTTTGATGTCAAGATTTGAGTCGGAAGCAATCAATTTGCGTAACAATCCATACAATTGATTTAACAATTGAGTATTCTAACTATGAGTATTTCTCGAAATAATTTATTTGCAAGAACTGTATTCCAAAAAAAAATAGTTTTTTAATGGATTGAAAATGGAAAAACAAAACATTTGATACAGATATATTACTTATTTTAACAGTTATTGATTTAGTTCATCGGTGATTTTATTTATAAATTGTTCTAAGTCCGTGCTATTGGTCAATTTACCTGATATTTTGACGATAGTTATTGATTTGATAACGTTTGCACTTGTTTATCGGAAATTTATTGCTACATTTTTCATTCAAAATACTTTTATGTCAATATCATTGATAATAATTTTACATTTTTTCGGTACATTCGTTGCAAAATGAAGTATTATTTTTTTTTTTATATTAAAAAGACGCAAGCGGATATTTGAAAAACAATATTATTATTATTATAAATTCAACACAAAAACTATTAAATCTTTTGGAATTGTTGAATTTATGTTAACACATAATAATGCTTTTGTTGTATAACGTTTTTTTTTCCGTAAAAGCACCATTGGTTTTTAAAAATTAAAAATTTTGTGCAAAACTAAAAGAAATAATTTTCCCAACTGTGCTATATAATAAATTTTAATCAAATTTTTATAGATAAGTATGTTGTTTGTTAATGGAAAACATAAAAATAAAATTAATTATGCAATAATAATGATATACCCTTGGACACCGTTATGTAACATTATTGCATATACAACACGCCGTTATATTTATTTTTTAATAATAGATTATTTTTCGATGACCGTTTGTATATATACGTCGCATATACATATTATATTTACATTTATACATAACTCTACATATAATACATGTTATATGCGATCGTGATTTCATCGTGCCACGAATGAATTTTTTCTTAACATTTTTATTCATCATTATGTTATTGTTATGCGATAATTTTTTTTAATGAATTATGCGCAAGAAATTTTTTATCGATTTGCTTTACACTGCACCAAACACGCGCAATGTGCTCTTGTGAAAGCAGTAATAGTTTATTAACTTAAGCAGAAATAATTACACGTTCGCATGTACAAGTATCGATTGGTATATGTATACAGTTTTGCGAGGATTCAATTTATGCGCATATGCGATATGGTAAACAAATCTGTCATTTTCATTCCAACGTTTATCGATCAAAACAACATTTTTCATTTACCATATTTATTAAAAATGACTGTAAATCGCGTAATTTTGGCTTCTGCTATTTATTCTTTTTAAGCAAACATTTTGAACATCTAGTGCGTTGCAATTACACTCCACGGTAGCCATAAGAAAGTAATTTTTAACTTGACAAAAAACATTATAATGATTTCCAGCAAAGTTGAAATAGTTTGTCTTTTGGATAATATTCTAATTCAATAAGTTTGGGTTTGACAAAAACATTTCTTAAATGTGATATTATTGACAGTTTCATTAATGTGCCAACTATAAAGAGATGAATAGTTACACTCACTAAAATTCACGATATTATTTTCACCTTTAAAGCGAAAATAAAAATATATGTATTACAACGATATGATAGATAAACATTCGTAAGAACTCGTACATTATGAGATACATTAGGAATTTTCTGTGCAAATTATTTGAAACTGCATCTCCACAACGATAAAATTGTAAGAGTTTCACAGTTCATCACGTGAAATTGTGTCTGTGTGTATGTGTGTGTGTGTGCATGATTGCGTACGTGAAAATTAGATTAGATTGAGAGAGAAGGGCCATAATGTATATATGGTGGATCAATAGTTGTTGGTCGGGTATAATATTTCGAGACGGTTGTACACAATAAGCTCGAGAAATAAGAAAACCATTTTATCCCCATACACTTTACTTCTCATGGAAGTTTGTTCGTGTTGGATATCTCAATTTTTAAGACTTCGAGGTGATGAAGATGTAAGTCATACCTATATGACGTCTATACCTATATAAAGGTAGAGCGACACTCGATGCGCATACAAATGCGTCAGCTACTTATACTATTCATGAGTACTCGAGAACACTGGTCTCTAATGATTATTCCGTCGAGGTTGTAGGTCGAGGTGTTAGTATGAATCCGTTTTATACATAATAATACAATCTAATTAGTGTCGAGATTTTGATTAGTCGATGTATATAGTCATATATATACAGTCGGAGGCATAGTTATAGATTATTAATGAAGGGTTTTGATTTTCAATTATTAGTACTAAGCTGACACGAAAAAAAAACATAAATATAGATATATTAATAAAATACTTTTAATATTATTTTTAAAAATTAAATATTATACAAGTAAATTTAATCGTTGCCTTAGCTGTATTAGTTTGTTCACAATTTGTGTTTCGTAAATATGCCTTTAAGTGCTTTAATGTAGAAAAGAGACGTTCCGCAGTAGACATAGGAAGAGTGGAAAACATTTTAAGAAAAGTATAAATGAGAGAAAAAACAGTTTAACACACTTTTCCACAGTTTCCATTGCATTTAATTCATTTAAGTCATCACTTATTTCTTCCCTCTTCTTGGTCCATAATTGATACTCACTCAACAGATTTTCAAGTTTTTCATTAAGCAGATATATCTTATGGATTTCTGTCAATTTGTTTTTAACATCATTCTCCTTTTTTATAAATTTTGGCAGTGAGATTGGAGGATTCCAAAATGTTTGAGATGATTAGAAAATCTGGCTCCTAGTTTGCTTAGCACATGGTTAAAAAATGGATTGTAAACATTTATTTTATAATATATTTCGGCTGTCTCTGAAGGATTATTGGTTTATCCTTTTTATCTGTTCGTGATTCTGTAAGAAATTTAATATCTATAAGTTCTTTAGAATCTGTCACAATTTTTAAAAAATCCTTATAATTTCATATGTTTTCTAATGTTTTTTTACTATAACTACATATTTGTATGCTTCGATCAAATCAATATTTTGATTTTGAAGAACTTTGTTAAAATTTCCGGTGAAGCTGGAAAGTTTTCGCAAAATGAGCTGCGATACAACAAATTTTAAGTTTTCTATATTTTAAATATAAAATAAAAATAAAAACGTAATGTTTAAATTAACTAAGATAAAGAAATCGGATAAAAAAGGTGTGTAAAAGTAAATTCATTAACGAAAGCCAAATATATTTTAATGTTATTATCAAATGAGAAACAAATATAATCATAGTTTATATGGTAGTAGTGTATATAATTAATTATACATAATTAACATTAATTTGACAAATTACAACAATAGTTAATAGTATATTATTTTGTATTAACTCTAACTAAAACTACCAGTATTTTGACTAAAGTAAAACGAGTTTATGTTTGGATTCGAACAGTGATAGAGAGAAAAAATGTATATGGTTTTAATTGAACAAGTGCTATAAAAAATTTTATCAAAAAACAATATAAAAAATTGTTAAATATACTCGCGGAAGTTGGAAGACAACAAGTCTTCGGTATAAATCAACATTATTTTCGTGTACAATACGGGCAGGTCAAATAAACTTAATACTATTTGTATTAAACATTTCATATCGTATCTAGTGTACATCCAGTACATAAAATAGTTATATATCTAATGGCGATTTTACTTTTTTTATGACACTATAATAATAATATAAATATTTATACGTCACACGTGTAGCCGTAAACGGATTTACTGCGGCGGCTGCGAAAACGACAAAACTTTCAAATATAAATGTATGAAACATTAAATGGAATAACTATAAACTATAGACGTCTACGTATAGTAAACGCATGTAACAACGTAACAGTATTTTACTGCCGTCTGCTAATAAGTATATATTATAATAATATATAATAATACTATAAATAATAATGTCTTAGTAATAAAATAATAATAATAATAAATACCTAAAGGGGTTTTTTTACGTATTGTTTAAGGAATCATCCCATGGTTACAGGGTTTGGTGTATATAGGAATACTATGTTTCGACAATATTTAATAACTACCGTTACCAAATTTTAAATCATACGACTCTGAATAATTTGTTCGTCGTGTTTTGATTTCGTTTCGTGTGTTCAGTGCTCAAATCCGCCAAGACACGGTCGCACCACGATTTTGTCGGCGTCACAGGCATATTATCACAGTCCTGAAACAACGTGAGATGTATTATCAGAAATACCCACACACACGTATATAAATATCCATCAGATTGTTATGTAACCCAATCCATACAGTATTTGAATAATATATACACATTTATTAGAAAGAAAATTCCGTTTAGATACGTAAATAAGTACATATACTAATCATATACTAACCATTCGCGCGAAAATAATCACCGTATAAATAAATAAATATTATAAATAAATATTGTCCTTTAATTAACCAAAAACCATGTTATTTTAATATTAAATTCAAAAGTAAGCAAGTATAGCTATATAAAATTTGTAATGAGATTGATTAATGAGACATTTTCACGTCTCTCTATACGAAACGAACATCGGTGGGATGTCATTTGGTAAAATTTTAATGTTGTTACCTATATTCCAAATTCAATTTGATTCTAGATATGTTTATTTTTTGTTTTTTATTAGATTTTTTTGCTCATATTTTTCACATGTGTTTAAACTAATATAGTTTAAGCATTTTGTTTGATAATTGTTATAATTTGCAGGATGATACTATTATTATTATTATTATTAACCTTAATAACCATAAAAGGCATTATTAGACACGAGTACAATTTAATGTCACGTTTTTCGATGTTCAAACATGTTATAATCGTATATAATATAATCGCACTCTGTTCCTTTGCATTCAAATATTGCATACAATCGAATCAGATAATAGAAAATATTGCATTCGTATCAAGTAGTAGCTACTGGAATGAATAGAAGTCTCATAAGAGATATTTTTTTAAATTGCTTTTAAATATATTTGTACATGAAGCTTTGAAGTATACACGAATAAAAACATTTGATTTGTTATTTTAAAAGTTTAATAAAATTTACAATTTTATACGATTACGGGTTCATTCGAGTTAGTTTCTGATAATACAATTTCCATACTAATTGGGTTCGGAATTTTATTTTCGTTTCTTCGTAACTGTATCAAATACATTACTCATAAAACTATTATAATGGACTTAAAGTTTATTGGAATTTTTATTTATCATACATAAGTATAGACCATGACAACGAATGATTTATTTTCATCTGTTTCCACTTAAATCATCAAAGTCAACACAATAATATGTCATCGCGTATTTTTCGAGTATGTAAAATAAAACGGATCTCATCGAAACACGATATTTTATTTTTAACAGCAGTCATCAATATTATAATATATTTATAAACGCAACATATATATTATAACTCTAAAGTGTAACAAATAGGCCTCCGGATAAATGTAAAATATTATTCGTAATGAAAGTAATTCATGCACAGAGCATGAGAACTGTGTAGGTGCTACTTTAGAGATTTTTTTGTATTATTCTAAGTTTATGCGGTTTATACTTACGATTATGTATTTCTTAGGTGGTACGCTGTCTTGAATGAATGATTTTTGAGATGATTTTGTCATTAGAGATGATGTAATCGTATCATTTGAAGACAATAAATATATGGCTAAGTCAAAACCTTTAACTAAGTCCGTGTGCCTTTTGATGAAATCTAATATATAAAAACATAGTATATTGAATTTAAGTGAATATTAAAAAAGAAATGTAAAATAGGAAAAAAGTAAAAATAAAAAAATGTCCAACCTTCGCTAAAGTCGATATAATATTTTTTTGTTATAAAATTATCACGGTGTTCCATTTTTTTTACCAAGTATTGTGCATTGTCTTTGTTGTCCTCGTCGTAAAATACGATTATATTATGCACAGTTTTTTCCGCTATAAATGTTTTCAATTAAATAATATTATGTAAATAGAAATAAAATATTAATAAAGAAACGACATTTTTTTTGATTTTTATCTTAAGTAGCGATTGTCATCAAAAATAATCTCACATAATGTGTATTTATCATTATCTAATTTTGTCTTCAGCCTCTCAAATGTTAAGCACAACCACCGCCGTTTCCAAACGATCAATATTAACGCCAACATGACAAGAATGATAAACTTAAGGTCTCTGTGCACTTTTTTGTCATCCAATTGCTCATTGTTAAAAACTGGAAAAAATAACACCATAATATTATATGATTAACAATCGATATTATTATAATAAAAATGTAAGTGTTACATAATTGGTTAAAACGAACAATTTGTTATCATTTGATTGACAGCCGTAGTTTAAAAATAAACATTAATTATAAAGCATTTATATATAATTAATTAATTTAATTTTCGTAAGGATAATATCATCATGTATTAAAAAACCAATCTCATATACTATATAAACATATTTAAATTACTGTAACCCATTCAGAAACCAACATATATTAAATTAAAAGAAAATGTAATTTTTATATCAGAGATCCGTTTCCTTCATAGCAATCCGTTCTTGTCTGGAAATATCGATAAGATACTTCAAACATATTATCAATGTATAAAAAATTGTTTATCCATTCGATATCTGGATCAGTGATTTACAACAAATTTATTTTGGACAATACACTACCACAAATGACACGCAAACAGTTCATGATAATGACATGTTCCGCTAACTGTGTAAGACCGCAATGGGCCAACGTAACTAATAGTAAAATATATGCTTAGTTGCTCTTTGGCTTCCCCGACTGCTGTTGTCAAATGTAAATTGTGTCACAGCCATTCTATAAATCCGTGAAGTATTGATCAATAAGTGTACAATTGTATAATAATATTTTCTGCTGATAATATTTAAACTAAACTCCATATTGTCTGGTATATGAATATTTCTTATGTTGCGCAATACAGTGTTATTACTATTTATCGTCAAAGAGGGTACAATATACATTTGTATAAAAAACGTTATTGACAATTTCATCAAAAAACCTTACAAATAAATTGGCCAGTGAACACATGTTTAAAAATATATAATAACGACGACACAATCACACAGTGCACTCCGTTTTATATGCTTTTGTCATAATTTTACTAGAACTCAATTGTTAGAGCTCAGGAACACTGTATTATTAATTGCATCTGATGATGTTCAAATATAAGCTAGTCAATAACATTATTGAGAAGAGTTGTGTATCATAATTTATTACTACATTTATTTCATGGTGGATTTATTTTTACTTTATTTCTTGTTTCTAATAATTAATAATAAACTTCAACAAATCAAACTTCGCTTAATTCAAACAGCCATAGACGGACAAATTGAATTTAGCTTATATTATATAGTAATTTGACTATATAAATGTAATAATTAATTATTAAGACATCGAAGTCCTTGCTAAAGGTTAAAAAGGAAAAAAATAATAAACATTTAAAAATGTCTAATGAATTTTAAAATGAGTCGAGTGTAAATGTGTACAACATTAAATATAATATACCTATATGCATTATATAATATTCTACATATGATTGTTATTACTGTTTATCGAAGATAACAAATTTCGTATTTTGTTTTCAGAATTTTACTAATGAAATTAATCGGCACACAGGCCTTTGATTTAATTTAATTAAAATAATCTAAACAATGTATTTTTATCTGAAAAACTAAACGTATTCAATGATTTAATGGGAAATATTATGTACCTAGTTCAAATAAATGGATTTATTTTACATTTTCCTTTTTAGCAAAATCATGAAATGGTTTATTCGATTAACAATTAAAAATTTTACAACGAAAATGAATTAAAAATAATTATTCAGTGCTATAAAATACTTTTATATATTTTATGATAAAATGATAAAAATATTAATATATTTTATGATGATGACAAAGGAAATACTGCTAATATTTTATTAGTATTAAAATGTACATACGCATTAAATTATTTATAGAAAAAATGTTGACGTCACCAAAGTGATAGTGTATAAAAGCAAATTTATTTTGAAGTATGTATAAAATGATGTATGTTATATATACCTAGATTGATCTGATTTATGTTTTTGAATGATAAATTTGTTGACATAAATAGTAATTGAATAATTTTCCGTATTAACATAATTTAAAGCCACCAAACACGTTATGACAAGTTGTCTAAAACAATTTCTGCCTCAACAAAGTTTATTTAAAATATGAATTAACTATCCATCAACTTAATATCAAACCAAAGTTTGGTAACATAATACGTAAATAGACTATACGTAGAACAAGCGTCAATTTGCTCGATTTAGTATTGCGATACACAATGTCGATGTAATGATACATATATTACGTATAGAAACTTTTTAGTTTTAGAAGAATAAGATTTCCATTTATTAAACTTTATAGTTTAAAATAATTTAATTGATCGAATATGTAAGTATAAAACAATATATTCTTCTTTACAAGTAAAAATATAATTATTTAATAGGAATAGATTTTATTTAAGATTTAAGATTAGATAGAAAAGTCCCTATGAAAACAAATTCTATATTTACTAGTATATTATTTTTAATTTAAAAAATAAATAGTCAAAATTAATGAGATATTTTGAACACGGATAAATTACCAATAGTTAAACTAATTTTATGTTAAAATACATGATTTATAGTACAACATTTAATCAGAAAATTTTTTAAAATATTTTCGTGAAATTAACATGTAGTAAAATTAAATTATATATCAATACCTACTCGTATCTTTTTGAATTTCATAGAAACATTGTAAGAAAAATAATTTTTTTTTACTTAACTAAGAAACAATTTTTATTTGTAAGGTATATGTACACGTTATATTTAGTTTATACCACTTTTGATTGTTGAACGATAGTTAAATTTTTATCACCAAACCTGGGAGAATTAGAAACATAATAAATACATTTTAAAAGTAATAACCATTTCATATTAAGCTCAGTAACTGATTTTCTATGAGATGTAATCCTTTGTTTACACCACTTTTAATTATTGAACAATAATTAAGTTTTTACCACGAGACTACACTGTACAAAAAATAAACATGAATCATTTTAAACTAAACGTTCAAACGAGATGGATTTAAACTTTTGTATACAAAATTCAACAGCAGATTTACTTATTTGCCAACATGTATACATCAAACCAACATCTTAACCAGGGCCGTTTTAAGGGGGGGGGGTCAAAGGGGACAATTTCCACTGGGCACCGTAGTTTTGTAAAAGTAAGGAGCGCCCTAACCTGCACTTAATATGCTACCTATGCCCAGTAACCCCGAAGAAAAATGTTGTCCCGGGGCGCTGAAATATTTGACACGGCTCTGATTTTAACTCTCAAAACATGAGAAAAAATCGTTACGATGCGGTATACCATAAAATAGTCGATTCCATTATGAATCTTAAGTTTTTCTTTTTTTAAACTTACATTTATATTTCATGACAAAATGACATAATTTGTTGTTGAAGGAAAAAACTCTGTGAGGAATTGCCGAAATGAGATTTTTGTATCTTTGGTTACAGAGACAATTTACTTTGATATAAAAAAATCTACCATGCATTATTATTCTTTTAAGTTCAACTGCTTTTAAACGTTTTAAAAATAACTGTTATGTATATTAAAATTTAATCAAAATCTACATTGGAGATATTAGCATGCATATGTAGATACAGTGTCTTATAAATAAGATTTTATTTGAAATTTTTTTTCATCAATGATGAATTGTGTAAATTTAAAATTCAAATGAATATATTATATCAAAAATATTGGTTATTTAAAAAATCATTATATTTTCTGTGATTACAATAATTTTATAATTAACGCACATGGGTAGTAATATAATTTATTGAGAAAAATATGAATTTTAGAATACTTTCAGTTTTATTACTAGTTATAATATGTCATTCCAGAATAACCATTTGTAGTCCTTAAAATATAATTATAAATTTCGAAAAACAATTTCTATAACGAAATCTCTTGTTGGTATAAAGTTTTGTCTAAGTCATCTCATAGGTAAGTTCGGATTTTATTTTTTTAGTGATCAGAATAAAAAATTTAAGTATATTATTGCAGACAAGTTAAAAAGTGTCTTAAAAAAATACAAACGTACCGGGTTTTGTAATGTTAGTAAACTGTTGCACAATCTGGTCATCAGTATTGCTGATGGAGCACATGTATTGTCCGTAATCAGTCTCTTGAATTTTGTTTATGAACAAGAATGCTCCCAAAACTTGGTCGTTTTCCCTGTATAAGAGAAAAAGGGATAAAATTATGATATATATACTTGATTTTTGTGAACGGTTCGTTTCGCTGCTTTTAACTTATAATTTATAAATATTTTGTGTACCTCGAAACTTCTACTATTTTATATTTTTCATTTGATTCGATGGTTTGATTTCCACCGATCTTCGTCCACTTAATCGTGTTGATAGCATCCGGAAGACCAACTTTGCCTACATACACATCAAACGAATAATTTTCAGCATTAATTTTTGAAATTATTTTATCTATAATAATAACAATATGATTCTATCATACTGCACCATTGAGCAATCGTTATCACATACATACCAACAAAACCTTCGCAGTACAGTCTAACTGAATCTTCTGGTTGTGCGTAGTGTTTGTTGGGTATTTTATAAGTGGGTAATGGTTCTCCCCAATAAGATGTAACATCTGTAGAAAATTAAAAAAGTATATTTACTAAATACCTATAATTTGTTTTTAATTAGTTTATATTGGTTTTTTTTTATAACTATGTAGAATGAGGTTTTCTCTATTAAAGCGTAACATTTATCAAATATAATAATATAAGTAGGTATGTAATATTTATTAAATATATGTTTTCTTTATATTCGATGTAGATATTTTTATTATTTTAGTTATTGAGTTGGTACAATAAAATTATTCTTCAACAGCAAAGAGTATTTAAAAATTATAGAGGCACACGAGTTTTTTTGTATATCTAGATGCTGTATACATTTTAAATTATTTTTTATCGGTTTATTAATTTTAGGTAAGATGTACTCCTTCCTTAACTTCAATAAAAATTTGATGACCAACCACCACCCTTAGAAATAAACCATACTCCCCAATTAAGTTCTTCATCATGCCATTGTAAATTATAGTAAAAGTATCTCAATTTTTATGAAAAGTAACGATACAAACTAACTTCTTCAATAGATACATATAGTCATAGCTAATAATAAAAAAATAATTATAAAATTCGATTATAAAAGAAATAGAAACGTTATCAATATTATTGAAATTCATGGTATATTTAAATTAATTATTTCAATATAAGTAATATACCAAATGAATTGTAAAAAAAAAAAAAATTATTATGAGTGAATTATGAATAACATTATATTGAAAAGAAAAATCATTCTATTGGTACATAAATAATATTAATGGTATGTGAGTTCCTCCACTTCAATAAATAAACTCTTATTTCCTTTAGTATATTTTTAAAACCTGATTTTTAACTTAATATGAAATAAATTAGTTTTCTGTACATTTGTGTTAATTTTATGCATTAGTTACTGAAATGTAATGCATTTTAAATAAAACAAATAAAATATAAATTTTGAAGAACAAAAAATAATAATTTATTCCATTAATCACAATTGTTGTGCAAGAAAAATAATATAAAAATATAAAAAATAATTGTTTTTAACTTTAGTAGAATATATTCATATTATACCCAGGCAACATATAATTATTTTGACACATATTTTTTATTTTTTGCATGATACAAATTTAATGATTTTTGATTATTTTATTTCTCATCTATAAGGTTATAGATAATATACTTTTTAGTATAGAATATTTTAAGTTATACGTTATATGACTTGTGTTTTAGAATAAGCACTTTCAAGAATCATTATGAATTTAATTAAAATCTTTTATATTTCGAACAATGAAAAACAAGAACATTGGGGCAGTTGTTCCAATCCTAAGAATTTGTAATTTCTCAAACAAAATACTATACTGCCATCGGGTTCGTGAGCACAGTTTTATCAAATTACCTGTTTGAATAGAATTTCTTGGTAATCAAATGGTTTCTTAAATATAGTTATTTTAGAAAACTTTCTTCTGTTTACCTCAATATTGGCAAACAGATACTTTGTTCCATGTATCTACGGGGCTCACATTTCAAGAAAATCACGAATAATAATAGTAGTAAGTATATCTTGTTTATGATTAATATAACTATTGGAAAAGTTATTAATAAGATATGCTTCTTATAAATTTTATTTATCATGGAAAATTATGGACATAATTTGAATTTAATTTTATTATAATGGACATTTAATTATGAAAAAAAATGTCCTACGTTACTCTGATAATATTAAAATCTGTATATACTTGATATTTAACACTTAGTTTATCACAGTTGATATTTTCGTGTTCAATGTATTTTTTGTACAATTTTTTCCTTTAGGTATTGAACGATTAATAATATTCGCAGTAATATTGGTTTGAGATAAATCAAACTTACAAACATACAGTTAATAAAAGTAATATAATAATAATAACTATTATCTAAAAATTATTATTATATAGTATATAATAATATATAGTTAAAAAAATTAATATAATATCCTAATGTGTCGAACATGGATTTGAATGTAAACAAAATGTGGACAAAAAAAAAAACTGGGCGGTGTTGAACATTATTCAACAAAAATTAGTGTTTAAATGTTATTATGATTATTATAGATTTATAAGCAATGATGAGCCAGCACATATTAACAGTGAATGTAACCATTATTTGACTGCATTTAAATTTTAAATCACCGTTATAACATATAGGACAATAGACTGATTCTTCACACTAAATATATGATTCTAAACCACACGATACTACACTAAATCTTTGATTATATTATAATATTTTACAACTATATTTAAAACAGGATTGTATTTTATTTCTACGAAATCAATTTTCCTTATTAAATTGTATTACTATTACGCGTACGAGTATATTATTTTGAATCCAACAGTCTAAGACTGATTCAATATTAAAATCTCAAATACTTGTTAATTTTTTCTTATGATAAATACTCAATAAATTGAAAAGTATATATGCATATATATGTTGTGTTTTATATAGTTCTAATTTTTTTTCAAACCATTTTTTTCATTCGGTCATGCGTCTTATTTTGCATATTCGAAAATTTGATCACGGAAGAAATCACTAGGCATGTTCAGACTTTGGTGGCAGAGGTGACACAACAAATTTTTAAATTATGAGACTTATATATTTTTTTTAGACATGAATAATAAAAATACATTTACAACTCAAATAAAAATACGTACATTTTACCACTGTACTGTGCTGTACTGAAACTATCGGTAAGTAATGAGTACAAATCGTATTACTTTTTTTTTATCCTGACACAGTTTTGTTGGAGGCAAATTCCGCCGGGGGGGGGTCAGTGCCCACCCGGCCCATCCCGTAAACACGCCTATGTTGACTACTCTTCAAACGTTCGAATTGAACGACATGCCACGACAATTTTAATTTCAAATACATAACTGATGATTGGATGTAAAATTAATCACGATAGTAATCTTAATAGTTTAATAAATTTATTAATTTGATTTAAATAATAAATATAAAATATTTAGACTATAAAGATTGATGAAATACCTACATTAAAGGTAAAATAGTTATTGGATTTAATTGAATATTTGAATTTATTTTTTGCAGTTTTGAAAATGATTATAATAACTTTATGTTTAAACAATAAGTATTTTTTTTTTTTTTTATTGGTTATTTAAGATTTGATATATTGTATTCTAATATAAAAATTAAATTATTTATCACTATAAATTTAAAATAAAGTATTTATAAATTTTATTTACTATGAACTATTTATTATTATTTTCTATAAGTTGATTATTTATTATATTTGTTTAGTTCAAATAATATGAACGAAAATTTTTAATTATAAATATATAGGTTAATGTTAAAATAGTAAAATTATCATGACATTAATTATTGGCATGAATCATTAAAATAAATTATACAAAAACGTTTTTGGTTTGTATAAATTTTAAAGAACTCAAAATAATTTTGTATTTTTTTACTTGAGAAATTTCGAATAAAACATATTATTATATATTATATTATTATATTTTTATTTTCAGTTTGCTTAATTTATATTTAACAACTTCAATCAAATATACTCAAATCTTTCCGAAGAAAAATAAAATATTAAAAGGGTTTTTCTGAATAAGATTTATTATTATGTTGTGCACTATGAATAGTTCATTATTAGCATTAAATTATTACTTATTTATTATTAGTTTATCAAATTTTTTAGAACTGCTTGTTACTAAAAATCTATTAGTTAATATTATGTATTTATATCTTACATTCATCTTGTCAAAATCTTAGAAAATATTTGAATTTTCGATATTATTGTTAATTTTGAAAATTATTTGATGTCATACTTATTATATTTATAAAATAAAAATAGTTGATTTGATTTTTTTCAAATTTATTATAAAGTCTAGTACCTATTTAGCTTACAAGTTTACTGTTATAGTAATTTAAATTTTATTGAATCTGATAAAAAAAAAATAAAAATAAATAAAACTGTATTAAATTTTAAAACGTTTGGGTTCAACATGGTGCAACAATTTCTATTCAAAAACAAATCTTAAATGTAAAGAGAAAACAGTTCATCGTACTCAACAATTTAAATTAGCTATACTGTATCATAACTGTTTAAGTTCCTTTAATACTTAATATTTCTATTGAACTTCTTTCATGGTAAATAAAATATTAGTTTAACTATCAACTTCTTAAAATGTTTAATAAATTTGTAGATTTACTTTTATAATACCACTTAATATAAAATACAGTTGACTATCGATAGTTCAAAGTTGATGGGACTTATGAAAAGTTTCGAATTACTGAGATTACGAATTGCTGAATAGTTCAAAATATAGAGAGGACAAAAAAATTCGAATTACTGAGAGCTATAACATTTATGTTTATTTTTTATTATAATTTTTAAATGATTTACATAGTTAATAATACAATTATGTATATGTTATTAATATTAAGATAATATTAAATTATAATTAATTATTATTAATTATATTTAATTAATAATAATTAAATATATAATTAATATAATTATTATTAATTAATAATTAATATATATATTAATAATAATTTTTTGAAAAAATCTGTTATTGGTTTCCGTTTCATTGAACTGAAGTGTTATTTGTTCAATACTATTTTGTTAAGTAAACAAAGCTCCGAAAACCTCGACACCTACTTATGACTTGAACGAAACGTAACGTAAGTTTTCCAATTATTTATTTCTTTCAAAGTTACAAGATGTAGGTAGATTGTTTCGTCTTCAATGTGCTTCAATCGATGCTTAATATATGGTCCAAAATTTCGGAGTCAGATAGGACTCCCCATACAGCAACAATTTCATTTATATTGAGGTAATCAGAGAAATTTATATTTTCTTAACCGGTAAAAAAATTCCATTGTTTCGGTTCCATATTTATCTGGTCATTATCTGTTTCTTGAATTTCTCTAGTGAATCGCGATTATTTAGGAGAATCGTAGATGGAATCACATTTTCCCATATTTTGTCAATTAATATCATAGCTATCTATACATTAATGTTAGGTATCTGTTTATTTTCAATACATTGCAAAAGATTCTTTACAATTTCTTGATAGTAAGTTTTTTAATTTTTTATTATACCTTGTTTGAGTGGTTACAATTCGATAAGATATTTGGAGGAAAAAATTTAAATTCTATATTATAGGTAGATAAATATAGGGGGTTATTGTGAACTGCAAAAACAGTAGAATTTTGCGTTTTTGTTTTTTCATATACACATTGAGTGAAACCAAGCAACCATTAACATTGTGGTAATCCACCATTTTTGTTTGAACAGTAAGTTACAGAAAAATAACGTATGCCCTTAAAACACCTGGGTTTTGCAATTTTTCCTATAAGGAGTAGAGTTAACTTTCCGAAGCCGGTTATATTTACTGCAAGTATAATTTTGAGATTACAATAAATTTAGTTGAATCGCTGAGCCTTGAATGAGATTTTCACGTGTTGGTGGCTATTTTTCTGTGAAATTTTACTTCGCATTACCGAGTATATTTAAATGCATTGTGTTTCTTTGAATTACTCCGAAATTTTTATGGAAACGAGCAAATATTTCAAATTACCGAAAGTTTCGAATTATTGAAGGTTTGAATTATCGAGAGTTAATTGTACATCACTTTAAATATTTATCAATTTTATAATTTTCTATTGAAAGGTAATATTTTGTTCGGACAAAATGATGTATACAGACGACGTATTAATTTACAATTTATTTGATTTATATTTTAAATAAATATAACTTTTATTTTCCCATTATTATACAAATCTTTCCTCTACTTGCTACATTAATTAACGTGGCGAGTTGTTCACGTCCACTATGTTGACATTTAATTTGATCTATTTGAGTGTTAAACACAGGTATAATCATTTATAAATCTCATTATATTATATTTTTAATTTGTATTTACAACTATATTATATTAAAAATAATTTTTAAACTAAGAAATTTGAGAATCTAAGAGTTTTATATTTTAAGACGATTGCGAATAATAGTTAAAGGTCATAGAAAATAAATTAAATTCAAATAAATTCAGAATAAGATATTGGATGAATATTCTCAGAAAAATGTCGGTTGTATTAAAAATAGTGTACCATAATACAATTACGTATATAGTAGTAAAGTTACATAATTTCTCTACTCTTTTCTCTTCTTTCTCTCTTCCTCTCTTTCATCATTCGAACTATATGTCATTATATTTATTTTTTAATATATAAAGAAGTTGTTTGATGCACTGAATAAATTGGTAAGCATTATTTTTTATACATTTTGACAAATTCAATAATTTTATTTATATAAATCTTACAAGCCTCAATGGGTGTTCAGTTTCATAATAATGTAAATTATATATGCATTATATTGAAGTAAAAACAAGAGGAGAGAACCCTAGGCTTGGTGGCTCCCCAATGACCACAAACCATCTATTAGTTTCTATCAAATACAATAATAGAAGTTATTCGATTATCTATTTTATAGTTTTTATTTATTGTCTTATGAGAAAAATTTCTAAGTTATACGTATGCTGTTTGTATTTAAGGTTTGACCGATTTTGTGAATACCGCGAATACCATTGTCAATCAATACGCAACTAACTTCAATAAAAGAAAATACTGAAATTTCACTTGGAAAAATTTTATATGAATTATAACTGCCGTAAATATATTCATACAGAATCTTGATTGTTACGAAGGGTAAAAGCAGAAAACATGATTGAATTTGTCGAATAAATTTAACATGAAAGAAATCGCAAAAGATTTTTTCCTTTCAATTTTTATATCATGGTTTATAAATTCCAGTCCATATATGAAGTAAAATATTTAGCTTTTTAACAATTTATACTTTAATATATAAATTGTAATGAATATTTTACTTAGAATTTAGCGGAAATAGCAAAATTATGTACGCATCGTTTTGATGTGTATGCAAGAGGTCTTTAGAATATAAAATATTTATCGGTATGAACATAATCTGTCAGTAAACGCACTATGTTATTACAAAATATTATGCATCAAATGATTTTGGTACAGCTGTATCTTAATTTCGCTTCACTCTATAGATTATACACGTGTACACCACCCGATAAACTCATCATAAAATATAAATTAACATAAAATAACGTTATTGCTAAAATAAACATTGACCAACACTAATCGTGTTACCGAGAATTTACTTATAATAACGTATTATTAATCAATCTCGAACGGATTATTCAGAAACGTATTCCCTCTCCTCCACCACAACCTCGATGGATAGATGTGTTATTTTGCTGACACATTGCACGACCTACGTCATTCTTCCGTCTACGCTGCCATTCTATATTACTATGTGTAAATATAAATATATTTTACACAGCTGTTGTCATATAATAAATATGTGATACCGGTCGAATCATAAAATACTTGTTCAAAAATAATGTAGTCTTGTAGCTTAACATACACGTATAGTTATATTATTTTTGGTATAGTATGTAGATTATAAACGCAATATTTTGTGATACATGTAAAAAATGTTAAACAGTTTTTACAAACTTTTTTTTACAAAATTGTACCAACTCAAATCAATAAATTAAATTAGGAATTCTTTTTAAACAAAAAGGGCTTTGTTCAACACGCAATTAAAGAAAATCAATATTCTTATAATTATTTTAAAATATTTAAATCAATTTCCTACTTTTACTGAAACTGCGATTTAAAATTTAGTTTAGGCGTAAGAAACATTTTGCATCATGTTTTGTACATATAAATTGTACGTATAAATATCAACAAAAACCCATTTTCATACAGTATAATTATTATTTATAGTAAAAGATATGAATATCACATTGAAAATTAAGGATAAATTTGATGGAAATACATGCAATAGGAATAAACGATCAATTAAATTGAAATTTATACATTTTCCAAGCATTATTATATTTAATTGATGTACTTATTTATTTGATACACACAATATAGTTATAGTCAAACAATACTATAGCATTAAATATTCAATTTATACGTTTCTTATTGATTTTGAGTATTTTCGAACGTCATCATCATTAATTATTGTAATAAAATATCTCACTTATTTTCTAACACATGTATTTACACGAAATATAATGCAGATACTTACCAATAGTGACGAGTTGTATTGAATGATTTACAATGTTTGTATGGTTAGCCAGTTGACATGTGTACACGCCATGGTCAGACGATGTTAAGCTTCGCGTGTATATCGTTTGATTAGCGCTCTCGGGATTCAATATGAAACTGGAAACATCACTTGGCCACGGATAGGAACGATTATCTTTGAACCTGTAAGGAAAAATAAATTATCATAATTTCTTAGACATAGTTCTTTATAGTTCGTTGAAATGCCTACAGTGTCCATGTTTTGCGAGGTTGACAAATTAGCTGTCTTGCTATTGTTATTTATATTTTTATTTTTATTTTACCTCTATTTTAATTAAATTTTTCGATTTCTTTCGTTATGTTCGCAATCTACTCTTGTTAAGACACTTTTTTTCTTTTCAAAGAATGCTATTTACAACCGCACATTTTACTAACGAAAATCCTAAGAAACAACAACGAAGTTCAAACGATACTTAGTTGGTGTTTATAATAGCATAAAATATAAAAAGAAACCTCAAGAGATTTTGCAAATTGTTAATTTCAACAAATTTCTGTGAAAAACATATAACTTTACACTTTTCGACGAAACCTTTGATGGATTGAGAATAAGTTATGAATTTTTTTTTCCTTGATTGCTCGGCAGACATAGTAGAGTTTGCAATTACTTGAACGGCAAACGATTCGATGTTTTTACACGAAAAATACGTAGTTCGAAAAGTAACGCATAATTAATTATAATAATAATTATTATAATGACAATAATAATATAGTTCGGCGTAAAAATATCAATCAACTACCAGTGGTGCTCGATTTGCAAATGATTAATATGCCGAATTCCCTCATTAAAATTTGTAATTTTCCCCGAATATGATCGGTGCGCACATCTCAAAGTCGTTTTCCTAGAAGTTACGCTCATTTAAATATTTCGCTTTTTGCTGTCAACGTTTTAAAATATATTCAAATTAGTGTTTTAGTAAATGGTGTGCATTAATAATTACTACGAATTCGGGTAAATGCGAACGACGATCGTATTTAGTTTGTATCATACCTATATATATATATTTCTAAATAGGACATAAAATATATTTTAAATGATGATAATCTATAAAAATACGGTTGTAATTAATGCACGGTGTATAATTAATGCGCCAACCGTATATTTTAGACGGTGCACACAAGTGAATCTATTTTATATATAAAAAAAACAAGTCATCGTAAATCATATATACGGGGGGTTTGGCTGTAATTTACTTGCTGGAAAACCTTTATCCGGCTGGGTCTGTACGCGCGATGCAGCAAAATTATCAAATGCGTACTGCGAGCGTAAAATATTAAGTTTCAGACGAGGAAATCAACTAATATTCGAAGCGGTGGCTTGGACAAAAAGAATACAATTTCCTTATTCTACCTGAAATACCGTAACCTAAAATGTCACATAATATTATTCTATTACTACGTCACCACAAATCAACGCATTTCAATAATAAAATATAAAATACAGTATAACATTATGTAGTACTTAGTTTTTATCGTTTTTATTTATGTTGTACCGTCGCCGTACACGATTACCAGTGAACTTCAACACTCGAACATGCGTCGACGATTGATGTTCACCAAAAACCAAACGATCTTCGTTACGTATTCGATAATATTTATTTAAAATCCATATTCGTTCGGAACAATCACGACACATGGTAATCGTTGTATGGTGTATTTCTAAACTCTAAAGCATGCTGATTGACTGCAACTGCAACCGCATCGCATAGCATTTGATCACCATAACGTGTAGCTGACAGTTAATGTGTAAACCAGACACGAGCCGATCACCGAAACTTCATGCAGATTAAACAGGATTTAGTAACATGAGAATTGAGATTGAATTCCGTCAATTATAATCTAAGAATAACGGTTAATCTAGAATTATCGTAGTGATCCATTAGCTCTTTTAGTCAATTAATATTTTCTAAGGTCATACTATTTTATTTATTTATTTATTTTTTTTTGCTCTTGTACGGAATATTTTTTCAGTATAAAATTCAAATTACATAGATATCTTTTTTCCGCCTAACGAGAGCCGTTTTACATGTTTCCCATTTTTCCGGAAGACCCGGTGCAATCGTCGCACGATAATGTCAATGGTAATTATACGTATACGTAATACGTACATCATCTGTACACCGAGTAGTAGTGACTAACGATCCACTGGGACGAAAGGAATGTAACCAAAATTGCAAAACCGGTCGTTACGTATAAATATATATATATATATATATGTGTAATATGTACTTGCACGTAATAATAATATTATACGTGTTGTAAAAGCGGCGGCGGCGGCGATTGAGACGTAGTATTATTGTAGTCCTACGTCGCCGCTCGTCTATAGAGCGATCAGTTCCGCCGCGGTACGACCGCACCGAACCAGTTCGCCCCGACAGATTCGCAGAAACCACCGCCGTCGACGCCGAACGCACGGCGTACACACACTCCTCTGCGTATGCATACCTACGTGCGCAATACAAAACTAATGTTGAAGCAGCGCGTTCGCGTATTAGGTCATCGGAATTGATGGATCGCGTGAACGATGAAGCGGCGGAGAGCCGTGTCCGTACACGATCGTGTAGGGTTACGACGAAGAGGGAGAAAAAAAACAGGACGCGAGACACTGTTGGACGTACACGCTCGTAGGACGACCGATTACAAATAATCCCGTCCGTGCGTGTTGCACGAGCTTCGGTTCCGAAGGATGATCGCGAAAACCGACGACGTGCTGTGCTCCATCGGAACTTTTGTACGTCCGCCGGATCCGATTTCCAGGGATATACCGCCATCGTCAGTGGCGTGTTTTCAACTTTTTTTGAGCGGGGGGGAGGGGGGTCCTCAGTTTATACATGATTAATATAAACTATATATTATATTGTAATAGTTACGTCCTTATGCAGTTTTCGGAGGAAGTTGAACTAAATATATAATGTAATAATAGTATAGTCTTATGTAATATTATATATATATATATTGTATTTAGCACTATATATTATAAAGTATTGTTATAAAATAAATTCCAGTCGGCTTGATTTTTTGGCCAATTCCTCTATCACTTCGTCAACAGTAATTTCAACTTCCTTGTGAATGTTTAACATAGCCAATTCTGCAAATATGTAAGAATTTTAGTTTATTTTTTTATTTTTTGGAGATGTTCTGGGGGGGTCCAGTACCCCTGCCACCCCCGTAAATACACCACTGGCCATTTTTAGCGGTGCGAACACGTTTTTTCCAAATGCGCGCGCGCGTATATGCATATTACGCATTGTGTACGTGTGACGTACGTAATTTTATAGTATTATTTCACAGCGTTCGTGTAAACTAATATGTATCATTAATCCAACGGAAGTATGCAAACATACGATATCAACCCGTACGGAAACTCGTGTACACGCATATTAATGTACTTAAAGGTAATGTACGCGTATAATACACTAAAGCACACATGCAGGGAATCATAACGTAACGAGCGTGTAAACAAACACGGTATTGTCGAGCGGTAAACACGTTTAGCTATGTAAAACATCACAAAATACAATGCACCACTCGAGTCGCGTCTGCTCGTATTATTATTATTATTTTTTTTTTTTTAAAACATTTCAAGTTTTTACGTCTACACGATGAATCAAAACCCTAAAGTTGTAGCTGCGCACAAATTTAATCAATATACTAAATCATCAATACATTTTTTTATACCAGCTTAATGTCTCTTGAAACATTTTAATTATAATAGTGTGTTTTCAACCCATTAAATATGCTTTTTGAATATCCATATCTGATGTTTGCAAATATTTGGTCAGTGGAGTTGTTATTTTAAATTTTCACATAAACAAAAATGCAATCAATAACTTTGAGTACTTTAACAGTGAGTCTTTCAAATTTGTGGCTTTAGATGTAATACCTGGAGTAAAATGAACAGAATTCTCAATAGAATGTAGTGATATTAAGATTTCAACATATAAAACATTCGGTGTTTCAAATATTCTACGAAGAGAAAAGTCTTTGAATTATCTACCTATAGTTATACCTTTAGTTACATCCAGTTAAATAGATACACCTATATTTTTTAGTCTTTTTTTTTACTATCATGATTCATACGTTTATGAGATTCCTTTGATTAGATAAAAATAAAAATCTTTATTTTTTCATTGTAGTATATGAATTTAATAGTTTTCATTCTCATTAATGCATAAAATTGTACATGCATTTATGTTGGCATTTCCGACATAAAAGTATTATTTTTATTACTAAAAGCCAAACATGCAGTACGAAAAAACGCTTCCCAATTATATAAAAGCTAAAAACGTTGTGTTTTATCTTTTTTAAAAAAAACCATGCATAACATGAAGGATATACTGTAATTTAATAATGATCGATTAAACAATGTTAATGAAACGTTTCATTATCTCCGTACTAATATTTTAGTTGAAAGATAGGTATTTGATAACTGTAACTAATTAATTAATGTGAATATTAATTAAATTAAAGCCGACACTAATTAACACACAGATTTCAGAATGGTTTAAAATCTGCTTGTAGTCAAACATGAACGATATTACTGACACTGAATTTTAAGTTGATACATAAATACGAGTATTTACTATAATGAAATACTAAATCTTTACGATTACGTAATCGAAAGTAAATGCAAAATTAATGATTGTCAAAATCGTATCTTAAAAAATGATATCAGTGTAATTGAAATTTTAAAATAAATACAATTTGTAATGTAATTCACAATTTAAAAGAATTAAAAACATCAAATCAGATTATAATGTTTTAAATGTCTAAAAAAAGTAATTATTAAAAACAACCGTAACAAAATTAATTGAAAAAATACTATTAATATTAAAAATGTATACATATACAAGAAAGTAATTAAAAATTAACGTTTTAACAAGCATAAGTCAAATAAGACATTTAAATGAAAATCCAATATATATATATCTACTAATTATACATATATAAATATTTTCAACGACTGAATACAACCTTTTTATTAAGTGTATGTGACATAATACATAAAAAAATATACACGATAGTACGAATTTTTTAATAGAAAAGTTTAAAATAAGGAATCTGTAAAAAAACAGTGTACTTCACACAGGAAGGAAATTGAAAAATGTTGATTTAGTCAGAATCTA